GGGGCAGAACTGAAATGGTAAATAAATGTTAAGGGTATCTACTTATGAATTTCACTAAGCCTAGCTGAATAAAGCACCACAACCTCTTTATTTACCAAGTCAGATTGGTAAGCTATCATATTTAGGAAACGAACAGGATAACATTTTTACGAGTACAACCCTCAGTTTCTATGATAACCACACAAACCTCTCATATATTGAACATTTTGGCACGCGCGAATTTTAGGAGACGTACGTAATATGTATTTGTCTGTTTTATTTCTAGCCAGTCTGCACCTGTCTTGGTATACATGTATTGTACTGTACCGTAAAGTTAATCCAGGAAATCTCATATCGCAAGACTTCTAGATTTCTACTTCGAACATTAATCATTACAGCCGTTCAAAGCATTTCAAAAGAAAGTATAAGTATAAGAAACAAATTCAAAATCTGACCAAAAATATTATGCTCAAAATTCTAAATTCAAAGAAAATTGTCAGTTCTTTCGTTAGTAAGCTTCTTTTAAAAAGAAAACGTTGAAAGCGTGTACCGACACTTTGCAAATATGAAGAAAACCAGAAGAAAATTTTTTTTTAAATATTTTTTTTAAAATAAAGAAATATGATTTTCTTTAATGTTGAAACAATCATAAAACTCAGAAGAAAAAAAACACACAAAAGGGACATCACACTATTTTATGTTCTCGTGCACAGCCAAATCTGTGCTCGATACAGTCGAAAAGGGTGTCTTCAACGAGAAGTTTATCCTCCTACCATTTCGGGAATTCTAAGCTTTCAGACGATCACAATCGTTGCTATGTTGTAACATGATATTATATTACAAGATAGACTAGATTCTGTTTCACTCCCCTCTTTGAGCAACTAAAAAATGTCATCACACTCACCGATTGGGCTATCTGAGAAAAAGTTTGGACTTGGCGAACAGCTCACCATGAAAACATAATAATGCATGTAGAATTATAACAGGGTCAATATCTACTACGATCTCGTCACAGTTACGCACAATAAAAACGGTATAGCTTGGTACTATTTTGAACTCAGGATGAATGTAGCAGCAAGTGCAAAAGTTGCAGGCCGAATAAAACCTAAGTTTTTAAAGTAGGCCTCTATTGTTTGATCGACACTACTGTCCTCTACTCTTTCAAGCTACACCTGAGCACACTCCAACTACCCAACAAACAAAAACTAACAGCGAGATCCGTCAAGGGTATCCGACTTTACAATACTGCTGTTATATCCTGTTTATTGGCTTTCTTTGGTGCGGTAAATGGACAAAAAGCTGTATATACCGTTGTTGGTTTTTTAAAATCAGGATAATTGAAAAATGTATAAACATAGGCTTCAGGAAGTATAGAATCCCCCCCCC